TTACCAGGCTGAGCTCAACGACATAGGTACACAGGACCAAAGCAATGAGACTTTTTTAGTCATTTTTTCCTTTTTCAAACTCCGGTACTTTGGGGTAAAAGGTGTTTTATGATGTGCAGATTTTAAAGCTTAACATGTTATTATATTAACTTCACCCTAAAACTCAGTTTGAACTGGTGATTCTTTGCTTTTGTGCCCAGTGGCCCTCTCATTGAGTCTCCCCACTTGTGTTATTCACACACGTCTATATTTAATCTTTCATTTTAGCCTTTTCAACTTCTCAGTTACCTTTAAATCTCACCACAGGTTAGAAGTCAGACTTATTCTAACTGAACATTGTGTACATGGACACCTGTGACTCACAGTTATCGCTTTGATTCTGCTTTTCTGTGCAGAGATCAGTGTGAACAGCAGAAATCCTGCTGCACGGATTTCTGTCCTCCAAAAATCCACTGTTTCACCTGACTATCTGCCCCCTGCACCCACCTACAGCTTCTACAACAGGTATATGATCCTGTTTGCACATGAGGACTCTACTCAAACCCTTAGAGCAGTGTTTCCCAAACTCTTTGAGCCACGGCACATATTTCACATCAGAAAAATCACAAAGCACACCACCAAACAAAAATGTCACAAAAACCATTTTTATTGAAATATAATGATAATCTGCTCTCAATTTACTTACTTAGTGTGAAACCAGGCCTGCTTAGTTGAACACAAAGCTGATATTCTTGCAGGAACTGAAGAAAGACACACAGGAAGTTCTTCCTCAACAGCTCTGAGTCTTTTTTTTTCCTCTTTATTGCAGTCGTACTATAGTACTACTCTGTACATTAGTATTTCTTCTTGTCTTCTTCTGTTTTACTGGCGGTTGGCAGTCCACTTAACCCACTTAGTTGAAGAGAATCTAATTGTTCTTCCTGTTCCTGTTCGTCCTGTCACTACACGCCACTCGCTTGGAGTACCAATCTGGTGAAAGTGGATAAACTTCCACGGCACACCTGATAATTTCTTATGTTACGCTTATGTGCTGTGGCACAGTGGTGGGAAACACTCCCTTAGAGGCTGCTGTTTGTTTATCTGTTTGTGAGCAAGATTATGAAGACACTATAAAACACTATATATTAGTGAAGCAATTTAGGTTTTAATGTGAGTTTGATCAAAAAACGGGGACTTGGCCTTGGTAGATGTTTTGCGTCCTCTTCTAGTCTAAATAAAGCATTCCTGGCTCATGTCGGTAACCTTGGTCCTTCCAGCTGAATGTTTCACTGACCCTGAAACTAAACTCTGCCCTTCAAACAGGCAAACATCATACATGAGAAATGTCCCCATAATTCAAAGATGTCCTCATTTTGATCGTTTAAAGCTGATGTCCTCTCATGGTTTGAAAGACAAGTGCACACACTGACTCTTTTTGTCAGTAAGGAGCTGCTGGACTGCCCTAACGGTGCTGAATGTGATGTTATTGGCCTGCTGA